ACGACACCAAGATGACATTTCTAATCAACATGTTTAGTCAATCATAACAAAGTTACTTTTTTTTTCAGGCAAAAACCCATCTTAAGCCCCTCAACTTTTTCGACAGCAAGTGATAAGCCCCTAAACTAAAAAAGTGGCAAATAAGCCCTCCAACCCCACGATGGGTGCAAATCAGCCCTTCCGCTAACTGACTTCCTGACGCCGTTTGTCATCGGCTTCCGTGTCACTGCACCTGCACGCCTTTGCTTTTTTTGTTTGCTTTTACTTCATTTGTTTTTAATAATAATATATATATTTTAATTAATTAATTTAAAAAATTAATTAATTAATATTATATAATATATATTCTCAAGTATTTTTTAATAAAATAATGATATATTTTTTATTTTAATTAATAATACATTTTACTTCAATAGTTTATATAAAAAAACATAAAAATTAATATTGATTTTAGTATCATTGTCATATTGATAAATTTAATTAAATAATTAATACATTGAAAGATAATATTATTTTTTAATATAAATTTATGACAAAAAAATATATTTATTACAATTTTAATATGTACTCACCTAAATTAAAAAAATTTCTTTCATAATAATTAATGAAAAAATTAAAAAATATGTGAAAAAATTCTTTTTTAATTAAATAGTTTAATTAAATTTAATAAGTAATTTATAAAGATTATTGAAGTAAATGTATTGTTAATTATAATAAAAAAATCATTATTTTATTAAAAAAATATCACTTAAAGGTATGTATATTATATAATATTAATTAATTAATTTTTTAATATATATTATTATTAAAAACAAATGAAGTAAAAGCAAACAAAAAAAAAAAAGCAAAGGCGTGCAGGTGCAGTGCCACGCAAGCCGCTGACAAACGGCGTCAGGAAGCCAGTTAGTGGAAGGGCTGATTTGCACCCATCGTGGGGTTGGAGGGCTTATTTGCCACTTTTTTAGTTTTGGAGCTTATCACTTGCTGTCGAAAAAGTTGACGAACTTAAGATGGGTTTTTGCCTTTCTTTCATCTGCCAAAGTTTCT